CTGCTGCTGCTGCTGCTGCTGCTGCTGCTGCTGCTGCTGCTGCTGCTGCTGCTGCTGCTGCTGCTGCTGCTGCTGCTGCTGCTGTTTTGCTGCTGTTGCTACGGGCTCTTCTGCTGCTGCTGCCTGTCTTCCCCTCCGGCCTTCCTGCTGCCTCTGAGTGCTTTGCCGCCCCCGCGCCTCCTCTCACCCGCTGCTGCTGCTGCTGCTGCTGCTGCTGCTGCTGCAGTGGGTGAGCCCGAACCTGCTGACTCTGCTGGGGTTTAGCTGCACTTTAATGTGCATGGCCCTCACCTGCATTTATATGCCGCGGCTCGAGGAAGCAGCTCCGACTTGGGTTTATTTTGCAAATCTTTTTCTTCTCTTTTCTTACCAAGTGGGCTCCCCCTGCTGCTGCTGCTGCTGCTGCTGTTGCTGCTGTTGCTGCTGCTGCTGCTGCTGCTGCTGCTTTGCGTGGTGCAGTTCTTTGGGCCGTTGCGTGTGCTCCTGCGGGCGTGTTTGCTGCTGTGCTTGCTGCTGCTTCCGAGGCTCCTCCCGGTGTTGCTGCTACTGCTGCTACTGCTGCTGCTGCTGCTGCTGCTGCTGCTGCTGCTGCGGTTGTTCCCGCACGTCGTGAACACCTGGAGTTAGCTGCTGCCAAGGTATGCCTCGTTGCAGTTGCCTCTGCGTGTAAACGGACTGTTGCTGCTGTCCCGCTGCGGCTTCACCTGCTGCTGCTGCCGCTGCTGCTGCTGCTGCTGCTGCTGCTGTTTGCTGCTGCAGACACTAGATGCTATAGATGGGAAGCAGGCCCGACGAACAAACACCTCCACCCCACTGGGGCAGCTCTTTGACCACGGCTGCGACGCGTTCTCCACTGTAGGCCTCAAGGGTTTAGGGTTTAGGGTTTAGGGTTTAGGGTTTGGGGTTTAGGGTTTAGGTTACTTCAGGCGTTGGTTGTTGGAGAGGGTATGCATGGAGCGGCGACTTTTGAGAGTTAAGGGCTGTTGCTGCTGTTGCTGTCTTTGCAGCAGCAGCAGCTGCTGCTGCTTCTGCAGTGCAGCAGACAGCAGCAGGCACTGCAGCAGCACTGGCAGCAGCAGCAGCTGCTGCTGCAGCAAGTGTCCGTTTGCTGCAGGTATTTGCCGCCTTGAGCGTTTTGGGGACCATCAGAGTTGGGCAGTCTGTTGCTGCCTTTATGCTCATAGCCATTCTCCAGATGCAGCTTTTCATATACACGGTGTGCACAGTTTGCTGCTGCTGCTGCTGCTGCTGCTGCTGCTGCTGCTGCTGCTGCTGCTGCTGGGTCTTAGAAGCCACTTGCACGACGCTGGCAGCTGTGGGCACTGCAGCGCGGGTTCTGCTGCCGCGGTGTGGGGATTGCGGCGTCGTCTTAGGGGCAGGGGTCTGGGCTTAAAGCCTAGGGTTTAGGGTTTAGGGTTTAGGGTTTAGGGTTTAGGGTCTGGGGTTTAAGGCCTGCGGTTTGTGCTGCAGTGGTGGGAGCTCCACTTCCACGAATACCGCTGTCACACGGGGATTACAGGCGTGACAGAAGGCCAGTTTGTGGTGAGACCAGCAGCAGCAGCAGCAGCAGCAGCAGCGGCAGCAGCAGCAGCAGCAGCAGCAGCAGCTTGCAGGCAGTGTGCAGTGTGTGGCTGCTGCTGTGCAGATGATGGGCATGAACATCATCAGCCTCGTTTTCGGCCCGCAGATTTTCACAACATCTCTCGCTGATGTGGCTCCTGTCTCGTTTGCGTGAGGACCTACCTAGGGTTTAGGGTTTAGGGTTTAGGGTTTAGGATGTGGGGTGGTTGTTTAGGGTTTGGGGTTGAGAGCGCGGCGAGAGGTGTTTGCCTGCCGCGGGCACCTCTCAAGAAATGCAGCCTCTGGGGCTCCATTTGTGGGTTCACGCCGAGGACTGAGGGTTTAGGGTTTAGGGTTTAGGGTTTAGGGTTTAGGGTTTAGGGTTTGGGGTTTTGCTGCGTGGCTGTGCGCAGGCGGGCCGCGCCGCCGTGTTTGCTGACTTTGCCGCTGCAGGCCTTTTTGGCCTTTCCCTTTTATTTGCTGCTCGTCGGAATGCTCACTTCTGACGTTTTGAACGGCTGCAGGCTGGCCGCCAGGCCCGCGAAGGCCATCTGTACGCGCCCCGAGGGTTTAGGGTTTAGGGTTTAGGGTTTAGGGTTTAGGGTTTGGGTTCCAGAGGCACGGATGCATGCATGCAGCGTGCAGCTGCGAGCCTAGGGGTGCTGCTTAAGCCGCCCTGCAAGCCGTGTGAGCTGCAGCAGCAGAGTGCATGCATGCATGCATGCATGCGTGCATGCGCATGTTTGTGGGTAGTGTTTGCGGTCTGCGTGCAGCTCAGCTTCTTGGCTGCCTTGTTCATGTCCTAATGCAAATTCCTCTATTTTGCTCCAGTGAGGCTCGACTAAAGCAGCAGCAGCAGCAGCTGCTGCTGCTGCTGCAGCAAAGATGAACAGCAGAGAGTAGACGAGGCGGCTGCTGCTGGCCGCTGCTGCTGCTGCTGCCGCAGTAGCGCTGCTGCTGTGTTGCTGTAGCAGTGCTTGCTGGATGAGAGCGCTTCGAGCTGGAGCTGTGTTGCTGGCCATTTACTGCTGCTGCTGCTGCTGCTGCTGCTGCAGCGGTGATGTGGGAGCATCCAGTGCTATGTTACTGGACAATGATTTGCAACACTGCCATTATCGCTCTTCGCCTGAACCTCTCAGCCACATGCAGGGTGAGTTCAGCGCACTTAGCAGCTAGCCAGCTAGCCAGCTAGCTAGCTAGCCAGCTAGCCAGCTGACCAGCTAGCCAGCTAGCCAGCTAGCTTTGCCAGCAGCAGAAGCAAAGTGACCCTGGCTAGCCAGCAGAAAGCAGGGTTAGGGAGTGCGCCTAGCTGAGCCCACAACCTGAACAGAATGGCTAGTGTGACTGGGAGCAGCAGCAGCAGCAGCAGCAACAGCAGCAGCAGCAGCAGCAACAGCAGCAGGCATGCGTTTGCGTGCAGATGGACTTCTCCCCTGTCCAGTGGCCTGTGCTTCCGTTTTGGTTTTGCTGCATTTGGCTGTACGCCGTGTCGCCGTCTGCTTCTGGAGTGGGGGCGCTGCTGCTGCCGCAGCTGCTGCAGCAGCAGCAGAAGCAGCAGCTGAGCCCCTACAGCAGCGCTGTGCTCGCAGCAGTGCTGCTGTGGAGCTTTTTTTACCTCGTCAGTTTGCTGCGGTCTACAGTTTCCCTCATTTGCCAACACTTCAATATTAGTTGTTTTGGCGTGGGCCAGGTGGCCCGAGCCAAGGAGCAGTAGGCCCGAGCTTTCCGCGAAACTCCAATATGCATGCATGCAAACGCATGCATGCATGCATGCATGCATGCATGCATGCGCGCATGCAAACGCATGCATGCATGCATGCACGCGCGCGGCCGCAGCAAGTTGCGACGGCCCCAGCTAGCTGCTGCAGAAACCCCCCTGGTGGCTTCTCAAAAGCGGCGGCCGGGGAAGAAGCAAACGGCAGGCATGCATGCATTTATTGAGAGCTTGAATAGATGCACTTCGTGCATGCACGCATGCATGCACGCGTGCATGCATGCGTGCATGCATGCGTGCATGCACGCGTGCATGCATGCATGCATGCATGCGTGCATGCATGCAAACGCTGCTTTGTGCGCATGCACGTCATTTAGCTCTTGCGTTGCCCTGTGGCTGGCTGGCTGCGCAAGCCCCTTTGTTTTCTGCTGCTCAGCAGCAGCAAGACGAACTATTTGAAGGGGAAGATGTGAACTGACGCAGCTGCTACTCGGTCCAGCACAACTTCGGCAGCAGCAGCTGCAGCAGCAGCTGCAGCAGCAGCTGCAGCAGCAGCAGCAGTAGTTAGCTGCTGCATCAAGCTGCAGCAGCAGCGGCTTCAGCGACGCCAGGCGCGGCTTCAGCAACAGCAGCACAGCTAGTTCGCCAGCAGCAACAACTGCAGCAGCAGCAGCGCAACTAGTTTGCCCGCAGCTGCTCGAAAATACACCATTTGCTGCTGCCACACGAAGTAAGCAAAAGTGGCTGCAAAGCAAAATTAGCTGCAGCAGAGGCTGTTCTTGTTCCGCTGCCCGTAAGGGCGCGTTTAGTATATATTCGGGAGCAGCAGCAGCAGCAGCTGCTGCTGCTCTCGAAAGCTTGAGTTCCGAAGGGCTGCATGCTGTGTAGCTAGCCAGCTGGCTAGCTAGGCAGCTGGCTAGCTAGCTAGCAAGCTGGCGAGCCTGTCGACTGCGCACTAGCTAGCTGGCTAGCTGCTTGAAATATTGGCTAAAGAAAGCAGACAAGGCGGAGGGCTTAAACTAAATGCCTCCATAAAATCAGCCCGGGCGAAAAGTGCTGCGGGAACTTAGAGAAGAAGAACCCGCAGATTCCGCTGGCTCTTTTTGTGCTGCTGCAGCAAAGTGCGCAGCAGCAGCAGCAGCAGGCGAGGGGGCGCTCACTGCCTTTGCATTAGCTGCGCCTGGGGCTCGAGCTGTCTGCTGCTGCTGCTGCTGCTGCTGCAGCAGGAGGGGGCAGTGAGGTTCTCAGGGTTTATTCTTTAATTTGTTTTTGTCTTTTGTCTGTGTTATTCTTCTGGCCAAAGAAAATGCGGGGAGGCTCCGAACGCAAGGCGTAAAGATAAAAGCCGCAGCCCACAGGGGCGTGGTCGCTGGCCATGAGAACACCTGCAAAGTGCAGCAAACCCGAGACCCAGGAAGCGAGTGTGGCGGCCAGACTTTCACAAAAAGAAGAAAACAAATAAAGACTTTCACAAAAAGAAGAAAACAAATAAAAATAAAGTTCCTATTTGGACACAAACACGAAGTACAGCGAAGATTCACAAGGAAAACGAAAGAAAAAGACGTGAAAACGGCAATAAGCCCGTAACTTCTGCTAGTTTGTTTGTCTGAACAAGTCAGCAGCAAAAGCTAATTTGTGAACAAAAGAAAAGGCAATGAGCCCCAACTTCACCTAAATATAAACTTATTGCTAAAACCTGAATAAAGTGGCATTTGCGTACTTGTTTCCTTGGGAGTTGCTGCGAAGTAAGCTCCAGGAACTGTTCTTAAGAAGGACTTCACTGCCGGCATTGACCAGTAAAAGACTCGGTCGCACCACTGCAAGAAGTCCAAAACGCATGCAGCGGACTTCAATACTCCGCTGCAGACTCCCTAGCTTTTGCAGCTGCTGCAGCTCTGTCGAAATAAAGATAAATAAAGAAGCTGAGAGGGGACGGCGAGTTCCACTATTCACTATTCAGGTGTACGTACACCGCACTCACCGAGGGAGGCCTTTCCACTGTCTTGCGCTGCCCCAAAACTCCCTTTTTCATTTGCACTTGGTATTCTTTCAAAGGCCAGTCAGGGTCGCTGGTGTCCAGGGGCGGCCGGCCGTCTGCCTTCTTATAAGTCGGCAAAAACTCTACAGGCGCTTCCCGCATTTGCTGATCAACACAAACATGCATGCGCAGATAAATGCAAAATACAATTAACTCCACATGCATGCATGCATGCATGCACCCAGGCCTGCATGCATGCAAGCATGCATGCAAGCATGCATGCAGGCTAGCTAGCTAGCTAGCTAGCTAGCTAGCGAGACGCATGCTGGCTAGCCAGCGACACTGCATGCACGGGGAAGGAAAAAAGTGTTCTGAAATGTGGGGTAAGAGCTGCAGAGCGAGGCAGTAGAGAAGAAAGAGGGAAAAAACAAATTAGAGAAAAAGCTGCGAGTAGGACAACAAAAAAGTGATTTGCATGCAATGAAGAAACTGCGAGAAATGAGAAAGCAGCGATGGATGCAAGTGCTGGGGTGTACGTGAAGCTGCATGTCTTGGCCAAAGTCCTCCTTGCACTCGTCGTACTGCAGCAGGGCCTTAATGTTTAGCTTCTCCAGCAGCGGCACTGCAGCAGCAGCAGCAGCAGCAGCAAATCAGATCAAACTTGGCAGAATGGCAAGCCCAGCAGCAGCCATACTGCAGCCTCTTGCAGAGCTTGCGCCGCAACAGGCTAGCTGCAGCATGCTTTCTCTGCATGCATGCAAAAGCATTAGTTTCCCAACTATTTGTGCCCCTTGGCATTTGCTGCAGCTGCAGCAATTGCCGCACTGCAGCAAGGTAGCTGAGTCTATGTGCACAGGATTGCATGCGTGTAGCCTCATGTGCTGCTCATGGGTAAGGCTGCTGCCTGCTGCTGCCTGCTGCTGCCTGCTGCTGCCTGCTGCTGCCTGCTGCTGCCTGCTGCTGCCTGCTGCTGCTGCGGGGGGAGCTCACTGTAAATCTCAGGGGTGGCCTGCAGTCTGAAGTTGAAGTCTCCAGCCCAAATGACGTGGTGGAAGACCCGAGTGAAATCAGCTTCTGCACAATTTGAATAGACTTGAGCCAGTTTCTGGCGAATGTGCTTGCGGGCGCGGACACGGCCCTGCGCAGCAAAGAAAACATCGGGGCTTCCGCATGCAGCGCATGCATTTGCACGCAGCGCATGCATTTGCATGCAGCGCATGCGCTTGCAAATGCATGCAGCAAGTGCATGCATGCAGGCCCCATGCATGCATTCATTTCCACGCCGGGGTCAACAGCGTAAAGGGAAAAGAAAAAGTTGAAAGGCAGCAAAGGGAGAGAGTTGCAAAGCAGCAAATGAAACACAAGAGAAAGGCATTTTGCCGTGCTTTCCAACGGCTGCGCCGTCGCAGGTAAAAGCCGCAGCAGCAAAGACGGAAGCAGCAGCAGCAAGCAGTGCTGCTGCTGCTGCAGTGGCCACAAATCAAACTGCAAGAGAACGATCCAAACTAAAGATGGTGACGAAAGCCTGATGATGATTAGTCACCAGAAACGGAAGCAGAAATAAGCATGTCTACGAGAAAACACAACGAATAGAAAGGTAAACAAGTAGATCAAGACAACAAAAAGATAAAAAATAAAAATAAAAATTATTAAGTAAAAAGAACAACTCACCTTGACGCCCGAGGCTGGCATGTGGCAGCCCACGAAGCAGACAACTTGGTCATGAATCTTCAACACCAAAGTCAAAGCTCCTTTGCTCGCGTTTATTCTCGCTGAACAAAACCCAAAAGAAGCAGCAGCAGCAGCCGCATGCATGCAGCCCCAACAAAGTGCACACATAAGTGCATGCAGCTGTGCCAGCGCAGAGACCTGAATGCTTGCCAGCCCAACAGCAGCATGCATGCCCGCAGCAGAAGCAAAACGCACGCAACGCTGCTGCTGCTGCTGCTGCTGCTGCTGCTGCTGCTGCTGCCGCTGCTGCTGCTGCTGCTGCTGCTGCTGCTGCTGCTGCTGCTTACTAAAGGAAAAAGCCTTGTACGCCAAAGGGGTCACCGGCCCGACTGGAGAACGCGCGGACTGTCGGATCCAGCAGGCCATGGCTAAGCAAAAAAGAGAAAAATATTTGACATTTCAGACTAAATAAATTGAGCTTTGTCTTTTTTTGCTCGTGCAAAAAGAAAATAAATGCATTTTTCCAATGAGAAGAATTCATGGAAGCAGGGAAAGACAAAACAAAACAAAGATGTGAGAATAAGGGAAATGTCACCATGTGCAAGGAACCTCGAGAAGCAAACTGACAGTACTGACAAGTAGAGAAGAAAAGAGAGACAGAGGGGCAAGAGAGCAAAAGAAAAAGGAAAGAAAGAAAAGACAAGAGATGCGCAGCAAAGAGATAAACACATTACTGAGGCAGGCAGCAAAAAAACAAAGACGGAAAAGCGATAAAAGAGCAGAGACGAAAACACCGTTGAAGTGCAAAGAGGTAGAATGCAAGAAAACACTTTACAGATAGGAATACAAGAAGAGAAAAAGGCGAAAGACAAATGCCTTCTTTGCAATTTCACAGTCTTACAAGTGGCCTTCATCTTTGTCCAGGCCCCTTTGCCTAACCCAGATATTTTGCCGTCTCCCATGCTAACTCTCAAGTAGTGTTCCCCATTTTCAACTTCGAGATAAAGTCCAATAGCGCTAAATATGTTATCATCTGCAGCAGTCACTCAAGCAACACTAGCAGTCCGTCACTGACTCTTCTTCCAATTTGTGTGCTGCTCTTCCAGCAGCAGCCAGCAGCAGCAAGCAGCAGCCGGCAGCAGCCAGCAGCAGTCAGCAGCAGTCAGCAGCAGCCAGCAGCAGCCAGCAGCGGCCGGCAGCAGCCAGCAGCAGCCAGAAGCAGCCGGCAGCAGCCAGCAGCATTCAGCAGCAGCCAGCAGCAGCCAGCAGCAGCTGCTCTTGAACGGCGGGTTGCCAGCTGCCTGGTCAGCGCTGCGCAAGCCGCAACTGAAGCATGCCTCCCGGCACTTGC